AGCATCATTTCAATCCATGAATCTAGTTTTAAATGTTGTTGTTTTGTTTTTGCCAGGAGTTGGACAAGATTGTGGAATATGAACTAAAGATGGGAGGAGTTCTGTTGCACCCGACCTTCAGTGGAGGCAAAGAGAAGGACAAGTAACACATTCCATCTTAAATACAAATACATTTCAATTAAAGCCCTTCGCATCGATTGCAGTTATTGATTTGAAGATTAGAAGTGTAGGTAACAAGTCTTACGGATTATAATTACATAACGCACTGAACCGAACCTTTTTTTCCCCCCAACAGCCCAACTCCCCACCTTCACTTCTCCATCAAGCACCCTCACACTTTGTCCTGGGAGTACTACAAGATGTTCCAGTGTAAGGCCCACCTGGTGATGAGGCTGATAGAGAACAGGATCAGCATGGAGTTCATGTTGCAGGTGGGACACAACTGGCCTTTTCTTGTCCTCTGCCTTTGTAATAGTCTCAGAAAGAATTTGTTAAAGGGTTTGTTGTAATGTTTACTGAATTACTGCAACACACACAACCAAGGAAATCCAGTTAGACGTGAACAACGTGTCTCCCTACGCTCGAACAGAGCGACGCATTTCGTTAGTGTTCAAACACTACATGGCTTTCTGTCCCACTATGACGGTGTACTGAAGTGATAGAAAAGTCAATTGATAAAGAGTTAGAGTAAAAAAACGAGGCAGGTGTACTGCCGGAATTTGTGATAACAGAATAAAATAGCGGTGTATGCTTTGAGAAATGATGAGACAGGAAAGCCCCAAACGCCTCTTGTTGGAATAAAAAAAGAAAGAAAGCGCCCAACGTTATCTGCTGTCATCTTGGGGGGGTTCCCATGGAGCTGAACATCTCTCAGCTGTAGTGACCACAATCCGACCCATAAACCAAAGTTTGGTACTGGAGAGACTGGCTGATCGATCAGAGCTTGTCAGGCGCCACAAACCGCTCATGAATAAAAGCATCGGTTTCTGGATGCTTGAGAATAGAGGTCTTAAGTCTACTTTTGTAGTAAATATCTTCCAGTGCTCATGTTTTTTTTCAGTTTACTGAAGTAAGGGACTAATGCAACCCTGTTTATACTAAAACTTGTAAAAATCACTTTTATCATAACACTGCAATGCAGGATAAAAAGACACACACACACCTTGGTCAGTTTTGGTGGCAGGCTTCCAGTTCTCTGCACTGATCACAGGCAAGCACACCTGGCCCTTCTCGTCGATGTTGGGGTGATAGATCTTTGTCTTGAATGTGATCTTGGGGGGCTTGAAGGGATACTCCGTGGGGAAGATGATTTCGATTCTGAACGCGCCTTTGTCATAAGGAGGGTTGTCCTGCAAGCGGAAATGAAAAAACAACCACAGAGAGGGTCAACCGATGGGAAGCGCAGGTTGACGGGCGGCCGAGAAGGGGGAGGAACGAGGAGCGGCTACTCACAGGAACGATGAGCCCTTGCCATGACAACAGGTTTGATTCCTCGACTTGAATGTTTCTGAAGTTTTTCATTCCAGACCTGCGAATCTCGTCAAGTTCCTGGGAAAGCAAGCAGACAGCGAAAGTTACAGAAGGGAAAAACGTTCATGGAATCGGACCCGGTGCACCACGCCCACCACTCCGACACCTCCAGTAATTACTGACTGACAACTCTAGCTGGGCCTCCCAGCAGTTTAGCTCGAAGGCAGGTAGGTGAAGAGGGACCCAATCTTTTTTGTTTTAATGCGTCGTTTTTTTTTTTTTGCTGTGCTAGTGACTTTCACCAGTTGTTTTTGGCATACAGGCACAAGGGGAGCAGCACTGAGGCGTGTGGGTTCAGCTCATGTAAAGAAGGTAGCGCACATGCGTCTAAGTTGTGGCGGAGAATGTGCCATGGAATCAATAAATAAAATTGCTCTTTTTCTGTTAATAAAAATAAATGACCAGACTGTAAACAACACACAACCGCACAGTTGGTTAGTTACCATATCTTATATACACACACACTAATGATATGGTAACCACAACAGTGATATATAATATATATATATATAAATAATCAAATAAATAGGATACCAACAGGCTCATATTACATTTCCAAAATTTGGTGGACAATTTTAACCAATATAATACGTCTTTCAGTGTTATTTTATTATAATTTCAGCCTACGGAGAAGTAGGTGACTGTCTATGGAATAGTGTGTAGTCATCCTCCGTATCTCATGAGGACAGCGGGGCTGGGTGGGATCGGTCAGAAGGAGGCGGGTTATTACACTGACATCTGCCGTGTAAAGTCCGACACTTCCCGTTCGAGTAATTATATGATGCACGTTTTTACACCAGCTGGTAATTGCGATCAACATCGAGGCCTAAACTAAGGCCTCGATGTTGATCCGTGAAACAGGGCAGCGCTTTACTCCGCTTCCATCGTATTTCCTTATTCCGGTATGCCGGCTGACGTTGAATCTTAACACCGCTGCGCTTGTCGCGTGACCAGTTCCTGTACAAAGCCACGCTGAATTATTGTCTGGAAAACCCCACGTCCCGTCCCGAAGTGACGCTTAACACGCGCACCGCCAATGCAGAACGCGGGCCGTGGAGTTCCGTCTCACCCGCCGCCGTGACGAACTTCCAGACCGGGCTAACTGCGAGTTCGGCCGCCGCTAGCTGGCTAACGTTAGCTAGCTGAAACGCAGCGAAGATCTCTCGGGCTAACGCGTTAGCTGATTAGCCGTGTTGTGCCGTGGAAAATCGGTCGCGGGCTTACGTCGGCCAAAACAAAAAAAAAAAAGAATCCCCCCCTTCGGCGACACAACCCGCAGCCGCACAAACACTACATTCGGCTGGCGAACGGCGCATAAGCTGCGTGGTCGCCTCCCGGAGGAGCTTCCTCTCGAAGCTTTGGCCTAACTTACCGGTGCGCAAAGGTAATATTTGGCCGACTAACGTTAGCTGGTTGGCCAGTAGTGACCTCTCGTTTCTAACAACGTTAAGGTTGAATCCGAAGACCGGCAACGCGTGACTCTTGAAACGACATGACCTCGTCTAAGTTTAGGCGAAACCGTCCAGCGGCCGCGAGTGCGCCTTCACACAGTACAAATATAAAGAAAATATCGGGTTCGGGAGATTTACCTTGCCCAGCCTCCTGCTCGCCGCCATCTTGAAACTGCTGTGTCTTCCCAGAATACACCGCGCGGGGAATATGTGCCTCGGCTGTGTTCAAAATCGCATAGGAAGATACCGTTCATTGTATGTATGACGTCAAGTCGAGCATGTTGTCCATCCACGTGCAGTGCGTGTGTATTTGTGTTTGTACCCAGGAAATGCCCGGATGCATGAGCATGAATTTGCACTAAATGCACACACGGGAGTCCTGTGAGCAACAAGCTGTTAATCTGTCGCTTTGTAAAGTTTCAATAAAATAATCTCACCGTTTTGATTCCTAGTGTACGCCACTTATAGAATTGTATTATGAGATGTGACTAAGCAGCTGTACAACAATTTAAATACAACCATTTAATCTAGTCTACTTGTTATATTCAGTTTCTTGTTGTTTAATTACATAGTGTAGGACCAGTTTATTAATTTTATTAACTATTGGACTACCCCCTTTGCTGCTGTATTGAGTTAATTGTTTGCGTAACAGAAAAGGGTTTGGGCCTTTTTGTGGGTCCTTTTCCAAACACATAATATTTATTACTGTAGATTATTTCTGTTGTTTATTAGAAATGCAGACAGTACAACACACAGTCATACACAGGCCGACAGAATTTATTATGCTCTAGAAATAAAGGGAAAATACAAGACAACTCTCTGAACAACAGGCACAAGAGCTCTTGCCTTACATAGTCATACAATTACACACAATATAACACCTAAGTTCAAAGCTTTAGAGTCTATACTGTTGGCCATGAAATAAATCCGCTGCACCTGGGAGGTATTTTATTGAGTTGGAAGGATCGTGTATTGAAATGCTGTGAGAGAGAGACACTGGGATGGGGGGGAACTGTGACCTGCACTACTGTGCCCCTCCAGGACTGGGCGTGTGTGTTGTGTGCCTGTGTCTGTCATTCAGGGTCCCTGGTTGTTTGGAGCTATTGGGGTAGTTAGCAGATCGGGCGCGGGCGGCATTGCCACTACTCCAATGTGACCCCCCCCCCCCCCCCCATCCCGTGGCAGCAGGAAGAGCCTTTCTGCGACGCACCGTGTGCAGTGTTGGATGCTACGATTGTGTTTTAACGTTAGTTTAGTTTAACTTTAGTCAGCCAGAGGAGCAGTGTGTGTTCCTGCTATAACCTTATTTAGTCAGATTTACCTTTTGTTTGCAATTTGGTCTTCAGACCTTCAAAACTATGTAAATAAATATCCTTTTTCCTCAATTCCCCTGTGTTAGCCTTCCACCATTTGCTATGATTTAAGAGTTGTCCCATAACATTACAATTCATTTTCTATCTGTTCAGCGGGAAATCCCACACGACTCTCCACGACAACACCTGCGTATGGTTTTAGTGGCACACATTTTGTCACATTCCTACGGCAGCAATGCCTGTAGTGGAATTCAGGACAGGAGGACATGTATTTCCCCCGATATGGCCAACAATGGGAAAATGCCTTTTTTAAACAATATTTCTAAAGCCAGGGCTCCAGACAAAACCCTGATGTATGCAATGGTTCCTCATCCAACAGAAAACAGGGTCACAGACCAGCAAAAGGTCAAGTGTCGTGCTTCACTTTGTGTTTTGTGGCTTGATGTAATGAGAATACATATTTAGATGGAAGCTCGGCGCCATCACCTGTATAATTACGCTTTTTCACAATTAATTGTTTTGTCTTTTAGCAAAATGGCCACGGTCCTCCCACTCTGTTATTATGTGAAGTTTTGAGCATTTTTGTATGAAAAGTACTGTTTTGAATAATCAATGAGTTTATTTATTTATTCATTAAATGGATTCATCTGGGGCATTCATCATGGGCACAAAAACACTTTTAAACTTAACTTTTTAACTTAACTTGTATTCATTTTATATCTTTTGATTTTGTACGTCTTTTTTTTTTAATATGAGCCATTACAGGACTTTACCGCTCTCAGAGACTTTTTATGTATTTATTGTGATATTGTATTGTATTTAAGTATGTGAAGCAGAAAAATAAAATAGTTGGGGCTCCAGCTCATCTTCTTGATCAAGGGGGATTAAATCCATCATTGTTTCCTTGAGAAATGTTTGTGCTACAAAGCATTCGTGTTCATTCTATGTATTTGTTTTGCAACACTAGTACAAGTCCAGCTGGTTGTGAATTTCCCCTAGGGGATCAATAAAGTACTTATCTATCTATCTACTTATACTGCTACTGAAGTGTTTGCGTGGACAGTGCCATCTACTGGGATTAAACACTTTTATATCAATCTCTCATCAAAGAAGCATATCAGTCACACTATTGTATTTTAATTTAAAACCATTACCAAACTGCTAAAAGGGGCACATTCACTTCGTAGTAACTGATTACGTAACATGATATTACGAGTATACTTTTCATCTGGGATATCCAAGCAAAATAACAAACAATGACAGCATGAAATCACACGTTCATTCTGGAGCACTTCAAATTTCTGAAGCACATTTTTTAACATTTATTAGTATATGGACCCTGAGTATAAATACCGTTACCTTCCATGGTTGTACTGAGACAGCGATTTTGGTAACTAACTATACCTAACATTGGGATGTTGCTTGTGTGATATGGATGTTTTCTGGGAGACGATGGTTTATTTTGAAAGGACTGTGCGCACGTCACGCACGGAGATTGTCACGTGTCGCTTGCTTTCACTGCAAAAAGACTCTTTATTGCACGAGAGTCACATTTTGACAAACCTAGCAGCTTCGTTAACGAGTTTGCAGCCCAGTTGAATCTCTTCTCGCAGTCGGGTCACTTCCTTTGTTTGTTTATTTTTGGCGCGAGCGGCGCTGCGCGCAGGGAGGGGGTCCCGTCCGGTCCCGACCCTCCACCGCCAGCTGTGGCGTCACCTGGAAGTAGTCACGCTGGGCGGGGTGACCCGGGAACAACAAGATGGCGGAGAGTTTCGGGTAGGCAAAAAAGAAAAACATTGACGGCGTCTTACTTTCTGTCAACATTGCAACATGTAAGCACGACTCAAAAGGACCGACGTGGTCGACGCGTGACGCTCTCGGACGACGGGCTGTCGCGAGGCAGCGATGCGCACGCCGAGGGCGCAACGTTAGATAGATAGAGCAGTTAGCCTCAATGCTAGCCGCGGCTAATAGGTCCCCTGCTAGCCTGCTGCACCCATTACATTACTGAGTTGTGTTTTAAACACAACTAGTTAAGCAGTCGTTGCTACCAAATATATCGGCTATGAGCGTGTGGGGGTTGAAGCTATCGAGTAACCCTGACGTGATCTCCATTGTTCTCTGCGCGAGATCGATGCCATGCAGCTGATAACACGAAGCTACACTCGGCTAGCATAAGGACGCTGAACTGTCTCTAATGTCACAACTTTATGTAGCTAACGTTAGCTGGACAGGTTTTGGAAGCCGATTTGTTCCGTCGATTTAATAACATACTCCGTTCATATTGTTGCGTTATGCACAAACTCTGCCGTTACTTTTACGTGTCTGTTTAGCACCCAAAGTGGAATTGCTGCGGAGGAAATCGGTCATTAACGTGTTGTTTTACAGCGTTAATCGAACTGATCGAAAGGCCTCCGCGTTACGTTGTTGAAGTGAACGCTCAATATGTTGGGTAACATCCAAATGTGAGTTGTGTTGATCGTTTGCGCTTCCGATCCCAGATAAAGTGTGACGTTACGCTGCTTGAGGTGGCTTGTGGTTACCGGGGCAACAACCACTGCCAACTGATTACGCGACAGTCACATTTGACCTTTCACCTTTCGCATGAAGGCTTTTATCTGGGCACCTTTCCAACATGTCCGTTCCCTTCTCGCAGTGTGCTGACTAGGTCAATGTGAACGACTTGTCACGTGAAACGCATTTGTTTTAATCATTGAAAATGACAAGATGTTAAGACCTCAAGTCCAACATCAACCTATATTAATTGATCCGAGAGCCGGGATACAACAAAACATGGAGGAATCCTTCCATGATGATCAAATAAGCATAACGCTGCTTTTTGGGAAAAACAAAACAGGTCTATTTAGAGGCAACGTCCCTGCTCCCATCGGCCCTTATTTTGGAAAAGCGTATGTCAAAGGCGATGGACTGATATGTTTTCTTTGCTCCTGATTGTGCCATGCGCTGAGCCTTCGCTAAGCCCCACTCCCCTGCCGCTACTTTCTCAAGTTATAGGAGCCACTCACTGCACCCTCTCAAGTAATGTTAAACTCATCTTTGGGGAAAAGCGTTAGAATAAATCCAGCATGTCCAACTGACTCCCTTTTGAAAACATGTTTGAAAGATAACGATAAAAGCAGCGAAAGCCTGTTGCTCTCAGTGGCTCGGGAAGTGTCTCACAATGTGACGGAAAACAACACCTGACTCTGTCTTCTGATCAGACCGGGAGTCGGCGCGAGTGCTCTGCTCATCACCTGCTTTGTGTCTCTGTGTACCCATTTCCCAGCCCCTGAGTCGGCCTACATGAAGTCCCTGTTGCCCTCTGATGTGAGGGGGGCCGCCTTAGTGACCTCGCACACATCTCTGTTTGCAGAAGTCGGCTGAGTAACGCAGACTTCAGCCCGTTAGTCCGGTGAAACAGCCACATGTGGCGCGACAACAAAGAGGAATTCAGCATGAATCTCCAGCAGCCGGCACCTCTCGTCCCCCCCGTCCACCCTGACGTGCAGATGAAGCCGCTGCCCTTCTATGACGTGCTGGACGTCCTGATCAAGCCTTCAAGTCTAGGTCTGTTTCTTCTGTTTGTTTGTAAATAATTACACAGAGCCGCTGAAACTATTTTGTAAAACGTATTATTATTACTTATTTTAAATACAAATTTAAGGTTTAGTATTATAACATAACCGTTTGCTGTTCACCACAATGGTGATGAAAAAAAGCCCATAAATGTGTAAAATTGTGTACATACAACCAGCCAAGAAATAGCTCCTGGATATGATTCCACAATCATGTCTCATATGAGTTTCAGACTCACTTTCGATGGGGAAACATCCTTCGTTTGATGAAATAATGCCCAAGATGTAGTGGATAGTGAGTTACATTGTTCACAAACATTATTTCAATCTTTAAATGACCAATCTGTAGTCGTTCATCAGCATTTGCCTTGAATGCTTACGAGCCGTCTTACCAAACCTCCCATATGACGGGCATGAGAAATGTTTTTGTCAGACCATCGATGGTCCCAGAAATAACTGCTACAAGACCATTTTATGCTTCATACGATGACAATATACAAGCAAATAATGCAAGTATACCCTTTCAAAGTGCAATTCATTTTATATTCAGGAGCTAAACACAACTGCAAACAATGTGCAGTACAGATGCAGGGACACGAGTGACAAGAAAAATCGATTTATCTTAGATCAGCAGTTCCCAAACTTTTTAGGCCGCTAATCCCTTTCTTCATCCATTCATGCACCCCCAATCCCCTACACCACATATGTCAAACTCTCGCCCCGGGGTGAGGGTTCAGCCCAGATGACTTTACTATTGTGAGACTAACAGAAAAGTCCCTACGAATGCGCGGCCGCTTCGATTCGTCACCCCCCCCCCCCCCCTGCACAAATAAAAAAAAAAATGTAACTAAAGTAACTCAATAATGGAAAAATGAACAAGGGCATGGCCAAATATCGTGCAAATCTATGGTCTCCAAATAATTAGGTGTATAAAAAGTCATTTCACGTACGAAGAATATATAGTGGTAAAGCCATCGAGGCCAGAACTTAAAAAAGATCATGGTCCCATATGACACCCTGAGTTTCCTTGAGTTAAATGTCCTGGCCGTGCTGCTGTCTTTAGTAAAGCACATGACCTCATTCAGAGCACATCGAGCCTTTGTGATGCCACATGATGGGATTGAATGCAGACTATCAAAAACAATGTAGTACCCTAATGTGTAATGGTAAATGGACTGTACTTGTATAGTGCCTTTCTAGTCTTCCGATCACTTAAAGCGCTTTAACACTACATGACATCATTCACCCATCACACCCATTCACACACTGATGACAGGAGAACCATACACAGTGACACCTGCCATCAGTAACTAACATCCACACACTGTAGTTGCAGCTACAGGAGCAATGTTGGGTTAAGTGTCTTGCCCAAGGACACATCGACCTGCAGGTCAGCAGAGCCTGGAATCGAACCGACAACCCTCTGATTGGAGGACGACTGTGTTCCTCACTCACCCACAGTCGCCCACATGTAAACCCTGTGCTCTGTGTAAAGATGATTAGTTGTGCTGTGTGTGTTTTGAGGCATAGTTCATGGTATTGGTGCTCTAACACTCAGCATTTGTGTTTTCAGGAGCGAGTCCTGCACAGAGGCACCACCAAGAAAAATATTTCATCTTTGCCTTGACGCCACAGCAAGTTCGGGAGGTGTGCATATCCAGGTAGGGCTGATGTTGAGGAAAACACTCCCATCCAGGTCCATATATGATAAATGTGAAGAATACTGTGTTGTAATTGTATGTTTAACCTGGTCTGTTTCACAGGGACTTTCTACCAGGTGGCCGAAGGGACTATATGGTTCAGATTCAGCTGAGGTGAGAATCTTCAGCTTTCTCTCCTGGAAATAATACATTCGGACATTCGCAGAAACATAGAACCTCAAACTAAATCAAATGTATGTTAGTTAAATAAACTTTCAGCTGGTTATGAAACAATCTTTGATTCCTCTGCTTTACCTACACGAGTAAGTGAGGTAATCTGCAGGTGATGGGATGTTTATTTCTAGGGTACATCCCAGGTTTCAGGCATGCCGTCTCGACTGGAGAGCAGAAGACACTAAATACTTAATACCGCATCATTTACCATCATTTCATTCAGCCATGTGATGATGCTGATGCTTCCTGAATGTCGGATTGAAGATCTGTCATTTCAATTCCTCCCGAGACATGGAGCCTAATAGATTAATTCCAGTAATCAAGAGAAACCATAATCATAATATCACATATTCCAACACAATAACATTGCCGGTAGAAACCGGTCCAATGCTACCGTTTTATCCACACAACATTACATTTCCTTGTAGAACTCAATTAATTTAAGGAAAATGGGTTCAAATGAAACTCATATATATTCAATTTGACTTTGCTGAGGTTTTGCTTTGGCTATTACTCAAACCTTTTTTATATTCTTATGTACTAGTCTGCTTAGGATTTTCTAGAATCATCCTCTTAAATTCTCTTTTTTTTTGTGTCGTCAGGTTTTGCTTGTCAGAGACGAGTTGCCCTCAAGAGGATAACTACCCAAACAGTCTTTGTATAAAGGTTAATGGGAAACTTTTCCCTCTGCCAGTAAGTTTACTCCAGAACAGTCCCAATAGAGGCCAATCCTTCATTCGGCCGCAACAACGCTAACAACGCTAACAACGCCCCTTATTCCGCCAGGGTTACGCACCGCCACCGAAAAACGGCGTGGAACAGAAGAGACCTGGAAGATCTCTAAACATCACCTCTCTTGTCCGACTCTCCTCCGCGGTCCCCAATCAGATATCAGTCACATGGGCGCCTGAAATTGGCAAAGTGAGAACATCAACATCTTTTTCTTCTTTTCCTTCCTCTCTTCTCTTTTCCACACGTTTGTGCTGGACATCACGGATCGTTGTTCTTTTTCAGACCTATTCCATGTCTGTGTACCTGGTGAGGCAGCTGACGTCACCGCTGCTGCTGCAGAGGCTGAGGATGAAGGGCATCAGGAACCCGGACCACTCCAGAGCGCTAAGTAACTACAGAGGACACTTCACTGTCGCCCTGAATTAGACACACCTCACAGGGGTTCTTTACTTAAAAAGGAAACACACCCAAAGTCCGTTTCCACGGCCCACAGCACAGTGTTTTTTTTATACACCTAAACTTAAAACACTTTTATGAAATACACCCTAAAGTCAAGTAGACACACATATGCGATTACACAGGGACAAATCCAGCCACAGCCATTTGCCGATAGCCGCCGCGCGTCGTCCCCATGGTGATGTCAGGTACACCGAAGGGGAAGTTTCTTCATATGTTTGTTTTTGTCGTGTGGTTGAATCATTTCTTTCTGTCCCCTTCCCCTGAACGCTGCTGCAGTCAAAGAGAAGCTGACAGCAGATCCGGACAGCGAGGTGGCCACAACAAGCCTCCGAGTCTCACTCATGTGCCCGGTGAGTGAAGATGAAATCTGAGTAAAGCAACTTCCATAGATTGCATTTTGTAGGGAGATGTCATTAGAGCATGCATTGTGCACAGCAAGTACATAACATTTAGCGAAGCACTGAAGCTGGAGATCACTCACCGTTCTCTCGAGGTATCAACCCACAGTGAACAAAGAATCCAAAAACGGAGAAAAGTCTTTAACTTTAACTGAACGTGTGCGATGTTTAACCACAACAATTGATATTCAAATGGTCATTTTTGGCGTGCAGTTTTTCTTTTATGTTCCACAGACATTTGCATTTGTTACATTACAAACATTTGTTTGTTTTCACACTCAATTCAAGCCAACTGTTAATGACTTTACTCAGCACCATCTAGTGGATTGAAAAAAGAATTGCTTCCAAAAATGCATTAATTTGTATCAATAGTGTATATAGTAATACATTTAAAAAAAAACATACTTGGCATCCGGATATTCATACAAGGTTGCCACGGGAGGAATTGGGATAATATTCTATATCGAGTTTAAAAAAATAACTTCTCTTCCCACCTCTGATCGACCCCATGTCAAACAAGTTAGTGGTCAAACTTGATACCGTTAGCTGCATATCTATCTGGCTTCTCTATGAGAAGAAAGAACATGTTGTGCTTGTCTATTTAGTCATATATTTAGACCTACTGCTGCACATGTCATGTAAGACTGTATTAAGTGTTGCTTTATGTGTCGCCCCTCAGCTGGGTAAGATGCGGCTGACGGCGCCGTGCCGGGCGGTGACCTGCTCCCACCTGCAGTGTTTCGACGCTGCCCTTTACCTGCAGATGAACGAAAAGAAGCCCACCTGGATCTGTCCCGTGTGCGACAAGAAAGCCGCGTACGAGAGTCTCATCATCGACGGGTCAGTGGCGGTCATCACATCCATCTTTTATTTGGTTGGTTTACATGGTAAATGGACTGTGCAGCGCTTTTCTAGTCTTCCGACCACTCAAAGCGCTTTAACACTACATGACATCATTCACCCATTCACACCCATTCATACACTGATGACAGGAGAACCACACACAGTGACACCTGCCATCAGTAACTACCATTCACACACTGTAGTCGCAGCTACAGGAGCAACGTTGGGTTAAGTGCCTTGCCCAAGGACACATTGACGTGCGGGTTAGCAGAGCCTGGGATCAAACCGACAACCCTCTGATTGGAGGACGACCGTGCTCCCCAGTCGCCCTACATGGGAGGGACATCCATAAAACGTTGCTGTGAATGTGCCCAGGTGCCACATTTCACCTCTACTCTCTGGACGTGTGAGTGAGAAAACTGTTCCGACAAAATTATCGACGCTCTGCCAAAGATTGTTTACGAGATGAAAGGAGTGTCACTCTTTTACATGGTGCTGCATCAGCAAGAACTCCGGCAGAGTGATGTGTCTTCCCTATAACTCACGCTTATCAACTTTATAGTTTTGAACCAGGGCCTTTTGGATTGTGGTCAAGCAGCACATGTGTCAAGTTTATCTTATGGGTGGGGAACGTATTTAATTAACATACAAGTAAATCTGAATGTCAGATCAGATTTGGAATTGGGGGCAATAAATTCTTGATGGGAGCAGTAAATAAAGGGTTTAAAATGCACAATTCCAGCATAATGAACTCAGAAATTTCTGTTGAGACTTAAAACCAGGTTTGTGGATCAGAAGCTGAGGAACGCACAATGATCATAATCCATTTAATTAATGTCAATTCATTTTATTTTCTACAGCCCCAAATTACAAACATTGCCTCAGAGGGATTTACAGTGTTGCATGGGTCAACATCCTCTGTCCCAAAAGCCTCACATCCCTCAAAACTCCCCTCAAAAGACTGCGACAATGAGACTAGAAAGGGAGTCCATCCTAGAGTTTCTTTAGAGATGTTTCCATTGATGCAAGTGTTTGGTCCTCTTTTCAGTTTGTTCTTGGAGATCCTGAACGACTGCTCCGATGTGGATGAGATCAAGTTCCAGGAAGACGGAACTTGGTGTCCCATGAGACCAAAGAAAGAGGCCGTCAAAGTGTCCTCTCAGTCGGTTCCCAAAATTGAGAGTAAGTACATCATCTTGGAATTGGTCCTATCGACCAGCGGAAGGTGTAGACGGTATGAAAAGTACAGCAGTTTAAATCTGCCCCACAATAAGAACAATACCTGTATCATGCTGACCGCTGGAGCCTAGTCAGTTTCCATGGGAACCGCACAACACATGATTTGTTCCCCTTCGTCCTCCAGCCTTGGCTCCCTTACGGCAGTCATCAGCGGTGCCTCATTCTACGGAGTCCGGCACCGCCAAGAAGGCCGACGTGATCGACCTGACCCTGGAGAGCTCCTCGTCCTCCTCGGACGAAGAGGACTCGGACCCTCCGCTGAAGAAGCGCTGCGTTTACATTTGCAAGAACGAGGAGATGCACGCGAAGGGGTGAGCTCACACGTTTGCGGCGCCTGAGCCGATTGAAACACTTTGCACACTCTGATGAAGTCGTTCCTCGCAGCAGCTAACGATAGCTTAGCGCTTGTGTCGCTACGGTAGCGGGCTAGCGGACGGCACGATCGCCCAGACACGTGCGCGCACACCGGAGAGCGCAAAGTATTTAGCGGAGGGTGTAGCGGCGTTCCTCCGGTGTTGTTCGGCATCGAGCTGCATTCTTTTCGTCTTTATTTTACGCAGCAAAGCGTTAACTAAATATAGAAACAATAAATGCATGATTTTTAAGTATGTGAAATACAGCGCGGGTGCATTGCACAGCTTCAGCGGGGGCTCGTGTCCGCTCATCACTTACGCCCCCTCAGTTTTTTAAATATGAGCTGTTCTCTGTATCGATGAGACTCCAGCAGTGACGGTTCCGCTAACCTTCTTCCTCTCAGCGTGCTGACCTACCAGCCCACCGTGCGCGTGCCCAACGTCCAGGCCCTGGACCCGTCCTACCTGACCTCCACGCTGGCCGACTACGCAGTCCCCTTCCACCCGTCCACCCTGGCCAGCATCCCAACAGACATGCAGAGTGAGTCAGCGTGGGAGGGGCCGCTGTCAGCGCTGTAACCACGTACCACCGTTAATGATCTGTTTCCTCTTTCTTTTGTGACCTACAGGTCTGGATTTGTTTTCCTTAATTCAAGGAGATCCTCAGGTATGTTTGTGACCGTTTTTTGCTGTCGCTGGCTGCGCTATGCGTGATGTCGCTCATCGTATTTTGTATTTGAATCAGGAGATCTATCAGCAGCAGAGACTGACACTTTTATTTGTTCAAGTTGCTTTTATCCTCCTAAGCAAAGATCAAGGGATTTGCTTATAAGGATTTGTATATAGGATTATATTAAAATGAGGAAATCTGCACTCGGAATTGATCTATTTAATATTTTAATATATTTAATATTTGAAACGTCAAAACAAATCTTTTTTTGTTCTCAACTCATTTTAAAAGCAATATTCTCTTAGCTAAGTGAAGTCAAAGCAGCTCCTGTGGGACTGAGGTGATTAGCTGGTACATTTCATAAAGGCCGATTGAAGAAACAAGCGTTGCTGTACGTTTGGAGACGTGTTCACTCATCCTGAAAGGTTCTGACTGTAACCCCGTTGATCCAGATCAACTTGTTTTTGCCCGAGCAGCACTACCGGCCTCAGATGTTCCTGGACAACCTGACCAGCAGCATGCAGAGCGCGGCCAGCACCAGCTCGGCCCTGGTCTCCTCCTCCAGCAGCCACTACGACACCGGCGGCCACGAGACCCGGGTCATCGCGGGAGGAGGGGGCGGCGGCGGCGGAGGGACGGACAGCGGCCTATCGGATATCATTTCACTAGACTGAGCCGCGACTCACTGGACCTCTGCGGGCTCGTTTCCCGTGGTCTTTTTTTTAGTGTACATGCCTTTTTTTTAATACCCAGAAGCACTCAAACTGGTAAACATCAGCATTTTGATGGCCTGAGCATTTTTACAATGTTACAAACTGTTTTGAGGTAGTTCCCCGTAACTGTGGGTAATTGTGGGTAAATACTTGTGTGCTGTCGTGGTTGCAGTGTTTTAATCACACGAGAGCAAACCAATGATTGAGTTCGCCTTCGTTTAGTCCAATATTCCCCGAGGGTTTAACCTTCGTATAGACAAACACATCCCCACTGTTTTAGTCTTGGTTTAGTACAACGTTCTTTGCTTATTTAAACTTTGGCCTGGTCCAATAACAACCAGGTATGTGCATTTGTATGGCCTGAGCAGCTAGTCTCTTGGCATACAGGTGTAGAAATATTCCTCCCTGGCAGATAAATGTCGGGACCCCCCCCCCCCCCCCCTGTTGTTCTGGCATTGGAAATATTTAGGTCATTGAAGTCGTCATTTAACCAATTAGTTTCTTTGCACATTCACGTAACTCTGACTTTGGCCTTTTTTCACCTGGTTGACGTGTGCGTCTTCAGCACCGACCCCAGTCGGGACGGGTGGAGGGGGGGGGGCCCGGCGCTCCCACCGAGGCCCTGGTACAAAGCGGGGAGCCCCACGGTGAGAAAGACTTGTGGACCGACGGACGTGCTGTCCACTGGGACCAGAGGGGACACGTCAGGGACTCGAAGCGTCTTCATTTGGTGTTCAAAGCGCTCACTCATTACTTCAGCGAGGTCGGTCACGGGGCAGCTCTCACGTCACGCTGACAGAAAATGTTCCTTTTGTAATTTTAGTCGGAGCAATAATCATTTAACCAGTTCTGGGTTGAATCGAGTTGTAAATGTAGTTCAGAAACGCTGCAGCACTCTGATTCCCGAGTCCGCTCCCGGGCCTCCACATGCAGTCACTGTATTTCCTCGTACGAGTTGCAAACGTGCTGTTTGTTTTGTGTCAAATCTTTGGCATTTCCGCTCATTGGCTTCCTTTCCGACATCAAGGCGGTCAGGTGCATGGTGTGTATCTCCTTTATCGGCCGCTCTGGAAGAAAATCGGACGTGTGGAATGTGGAAGTGTACATTGTTATTGTTATTTTTTCCCCTACAAATGTGTGCATCAGCTTTTACCAGCGAGAGACGGTTCTGAGGATTTATGACATAATGTGAAATGAGGGTTTGTTCGGTTCCTGTTGCCAAAGGTGTGATCTTCAGCTAACATCTTTCTTAAAGTCCACTCTGTAACTTGGCCTCCATTGTGCTTTTGATTTTGTCGTGTTTCATTTTGATGCAACGCGTCGCCGGGTGCTCTGCGTAAACACCTTAACGTCGGCCCGCTCCGTCCAAAGCGAGCCGCGGAGACGAAGGACGACCAGCGGGGCGGCTGCTGCGTCCTAGGAACCGTCTCTGCATCGCTGACTCTCAGCCACCAGGAGCCAAATCTCAGGGACCTGAACCTCACTCGTCCGGACTCAGTGGCCCACGCAGACTAAACTACTCTGAGCGATGCTGCCAGTATCTGAAACACAGAGAGATTTTAGGCCAGTGTATCTATTCAATTTAAGCATCAAACACACAAAATACAAAAAATATCCTTTGGTTTTAAATCAGTTGGTACCTTGAGTTCTTTTTTTTCTTTTTTCTTAAAGGCCTCCACGCTGAACGGAGAATCAAAAACCAGACAAGTTTTGGTAAAATTAAGTGAACGGCGCCAGCAGAACTACATTTACAAAATGCATGCATGCGTTTTTAAACCGGTTTGGGCAGAGATGCATCTCTGCACACAGTTGTGACACATGTCTTCACATGAAGACATGATTTCTCACGGTCGATTCGTTGTTCTCTGAGGAGGTGTGAGAGAAAAGGTCTCCATGGTAATGTGGGGGGTCCTTTAGAGCGACAACAACTCACTCATCATGTTGTACCTTTTTAAAACGAGACTATTTTTAGGTCTCTGCTAAAATGACATACATACATTTTTGAAAGATTATACCTCGGTTCTATTTGAATAGTTTTTGATGATGTAATAGGCAACACCAATGAGATTTGTTCAGATGTGTTAATGTTAGTGTAATGTGTTACTGGTTAAGAGTAAATGAAAATGTTACACGGCAGAAATAAAAGTTTCAGGTTTGCAAAAACAAATGAAGGCATCCTGTTGGAATGATGCAGCTTTAAACCTCCCAAATCACAGCTCCATGCGTGGAGACATTCCCTCCGCAAAGTTTGACTTGGATTAAGTCAAGCAGAAGAGAATTAAGGTGTTTTTAGTACAGTTTAGTGCGTTCAGGCACAAAAAGGCCATTTTGGCACAATCTGAATGTGTCATGCACCAAGTTATATATTTCACTTGAACATCGCGCATGGTGTTCAATACTCCCAAATACAGCAGAGGGTGAGGACGGGGTGGCGGGTGAGGTGCCTGCAGCCAACTCGAGCAGCTCCTTCATCGCCTGCTCCCTGAAGGCCTTGTGGGTCGATGCGCAGCCTGGGTCGGGTCTCGCCTCGGCTCCTTGTGGAGCAGATCGCTGTTCACTACTGAAATGTCAATGAAGTGATGGAGAAATGTCACTTCATTGTTTCGCTGTAATAGCCGATCAGCGCATCGGACAAGTCCGCAACCCCTACGCGTTGGTTGTAATACAAGATGCTGTCCGGAACCGGTATGGATTTGTTCATCCTCACCCAGCTTCCCCCACCTTTCTCCTCACTGTCTGTCCGCTGCAGGCCTGATGCACAGCGGAGCCCATTGTTACAGCTCTCTTGTCCACCCACTTCACAAACAGGAGTTTGCCTTCCCGGATCAAACGTATGGCCCTCTCAGCCTTTTTGGGCAGGTCCTTCTTTCGGGTTCAAGGGGAGCCAATTCGTCCCGATGGTCCTACAACAGCCCGTATGATGTTTGGACAGATCGGCGAGCGAGTATCCGGCACGGAGGAAGTGGCAGAAGATCACTGCAGATTAACTGTGATCACGGCCTGTGATACATACAGACTATATGTGACGTTTGTCAAACAAATACAAAGTATCCCAATTCAAATAATCATACCGCACGTCATCACCACCGGTTGACATTGTTATTGGTTGCAGCCACCACAACTTCATTTAATAAACTTAATTAAAAAAAAAGAACAGACTTGTTCTTAATAGATAGATTGTTTATTAGATATTTCACTAATGAAATGTGAGAATCCAATTAACTCCTTTATACCACAATGAAGCGTCCCCATTTGACTGCTTACAAAATGTTTCTTTCCCTACGTTTTCTGAAATGGTTGAATATGCAAATATTGTATTTTGCATACACATTTATCTATCGATTCAATAGACCAAAGGAAAATATGAGTAAATGTCCCACCCTGGGGTTTAAATGTCCTGTCCTGAGCCACAGATAGGCAGATAGTGAGGGACAGGCACCTTTACACCGACCCTCCACAGGGGAGCAGCACAGCCTCAGTGAGCAACGTGGTCTCCTGCGCCCACAAAACACACGGTAAGAGACTTCTGTTAATGACACATTCCTACCATATAGACGTATATCTTTGGTATCCCAATAATTAACATTCGCACAACGTAGTCGTAGCTACGGGAGCTGTTTGTGGTGTGTTGTCCACCGGCACATCAAAATAGACAGTGGCCGGGGTCCGCACTGCCAATCCTGATTTATAGGACCACCCTGACAAAAAAACAGCAGTCAGACAAGTTCTTCTTCCCCAAAAGTATTTTTTAAGAAATAAAATCTTTGATAACTTTTGATCTTGCGCTTCAGATTCTCAGCTCCTACATGGCGTTTTCTTACAATTCAGCTTGTTCTGAAATCCGGGGAGAAAATGTACCACTAATGTCCCCACGATGACCCCCTGTCAACTGAGGAAGTGTTTTTAATCGGTGTGATTTGGTGAGTGGCCACGAGGCCCAATGAATCATTGTACCCTCAACACGTCAGGTCAGATGCCAACCAGAGAGCCGGCGCGGGGGGCCGAGAGGCAGGAAATACGGGGGAAGCATATTGCGGAATGGGGTAAAAAGTCAACCTGGGAAATCAGATTGGACTGTCGGACATGGACTCTATGAAGACTGAGGTCGAGTGAAGGTCAGAGCCATCCACAGGTGCTACAAAAACTAAAGCCATTCTGCCTTTCATTTGGTAGCATGTGTAGAAGTGATTACCGTCATGGCCGCAGTGGGCTTTGAACCGTTGTACCTTGTGGTCACCTTCGAATGGAGTGCATTTATAAAGCGTTATTCCAAAGCAGTTTATATTTATACACTTTAACACCAATGGCGGTGAGTTCTCATCATGTTCTCTCCTGGATCATGTGAAGTCTGTTCTTACACAAGCAGAGATCCAGCCAATAATCTCCACATTGAGTAGGAGCACTTGGTAGCGAGTACCTGGATAAAAACCTACACATATTAAAAATCTTCTTTCATTTACTTGTATTAAAACTATGATGACAACATAACAAGTTATGTCTCATCACGTTTGCAGTCTTTTTAGTCCAAGACAATGTCCTCATGGGGTCAATAATGTATTTCATATTGTGAACGTACGTATCTCGTTGTACAACAAGCCGCATTGTACTGTGTACTGTGTGTACCGAACCCTAATGGTGTCGTAATATGGGGCATTTTCACTTTTTCACGTTTTATGTGCAAATTGAAAATATTCATAACGATGTAGATAAGAGTTTTGATTTTACAAGTTAACAAGACAGCACTCTAGAACCAGTCTGATGTGAGTTCATCGCAATTGTTTTATCAGGTCGAGTCAGTATCAGTACAAGTGTTTTTTGAGTTGGCGGGGTGTCCGGCCAGGACGGGTCCACCGCCTAAGACTGCTTGCCAATTCCTTTGACATCGTCATGGAGCCTGTGGTTAACTTTTCCAGAGGAAGAACTTCCAAACTGCCCTCATACCAATTGTACGTAGAGGGGTATCTTTATGAATCCAGGATCTACACAGTAGTATTCCAGTTTGGAGTAAAACCTCAGTTTGCCGTTGTTTCTTCTCCTTGCACCGCTCACTTTAGCTCCCAGAATGCAACGAGGGGGTGAAGTCATATCAGATCAAGGAAACCACATTTTCCTTCACTTCTCTCCAAAATGTTCATATGTTTCCCAACGTGTATAAAAGTACCAGCTTCAGAATTACATTTACTACATGTGGGGGGAACCCAGGCCAAAGCTCCCCCTCTGCAGCGGCGTACAATGCAGTCTGTGTCGTATCCTAAATGGTCTCTCTGTGTCTCTACAGCTCAGAATCTTAAGTGGGTTTTCCATGATTGATTGATTCATCTTCTTCTATCTGACACTCCACGTTAAGATTGAGGCCAAAGGCTGCACAGACACGAGAAATTCATCTTTTTGGTATGTGTTGTGTGAGGATTTCTTCCATAAAACGAATGTTTGGAGCAAATAGGTTTTGGGTGTATAATGTCTCATTCGTAGCTATAGCGGAAGAAATGTGACTGTTGGGGAGTATTTGCTCTTCTGGCCCGCAAACAAGTCTCCTCCTTCATGGAGTTTGACAAGTTGGTGCAAGCCCTTCTTCTTCTGCCACAACGTAAACACAGAGTCTCTACACGAGGGGAGAAAAAACAATTGAAATCTCGATTAGAAATGCCGCATGCGTGTTGAACAACGTCTCTACGCTACAGACGTCGTGGCCAATTGTCAAAAAGAAGAGGATGAAAACAAAACTTGAGTTTGACAGAAGTTGTATGCATCGCTGGTCAGAATTGACTGGGACGGCTCTTCTATATGCAAGGCAACATCAGGCTTGTGTATGTGTGTGTCAACATAAAGTGGACAGTTACACGCACACACACAAACCTTTATCGTGTGCTACCGTCAACGAGGACACATCCTTCCGTTAGCTTCGGCCTGATCCTCGTTTTAACACCGAACCTTTAGCCCGGCTCCAACATCCAGACGGGCTCTTGATCGACCCAAAACGGACCCTTTTCACATCTCTAATGGGTTCCTCAAAAGACAGAAGCAGAAGAAGTTGCACACACACACGGCAGCGAGCCTTTATTAATGGTGGCATGGCGCTGACGGGCAGCGGACTGCCGACAGAGCCAAGATCCCAATTAGTGTGGGAATGAAGCGGCTGCTGTTGCTGTCGGCGAGGTGGCTGGGAGGCTTGTTAGGGCCTCTGTTGCCGTGGGAGCTCGTCCTCCGGGAGCCTCTCTCGCTAACGTCGGCCGGGGAGCCTCGTTACCCCGCCGGCCCCCCCGTCCCCGGCACAGCTCTGCCAAACCTACAGCCGCGCTGATATTAGTGAGCTTGGACCAGCTGTGTTTGTCGTCTGTGTTTTTTATTCATTTTGTTGTACGTTCAACGGGGTTCTGTTCTGTGCTGTAAGTGGATCATCTGCAAAGTCTTCCACAGATCAGTTGGGCGGTTCTGACTGAGAGAAGCAGAGGGGGGGAATCCTACCGCGCCATTCGAGAATGTCGTGCCTGCAGCACGCAAACAACCAGGGCAAATCTGGAATTGCATAGAAGATCATTTAGGAAAATGAAAAACTACTTTTCACGGGTTTACCAGAAACGTTGTACAACATTTTGGCATCAAACACAGTAATACCAGAAGATCCGTTT